GATTTACATAACACTATCTGTACTGTTCATTACAGGTTAATAAAGGCCTGTTTTAATTTACTGTGCTCACAACACTCCCACTGATGTCAATAGGAGTTTTGTCTACATGTCTCAGGAAACCTAGAAATCTTTAAATGAAGGCACATTATCCTTGAGCAATAACACTCACTTTGCAGAAGTCAAATGGCAGAGCGACCATTATTCTTATTCTGTCATTCACAGTATGTGAAAATCAGACTTGGTCCCAGTGAAAATCAAACAAGTTACATATTTAATAGTAACAGATAAGAATACCTTGCGCTTGCATTGTGCATTTCACCTGAGAATCTCAAAGTGAATGACAGAAGTGTCACAGTATCTTTGTGAGATGGTAAATTATCTTGGTTGTTCAGTTGGAACAAAGGTTTGTAGAAAGATGCTTAGAAAGTCTGGATCAGAGCTAGAAATATAATCCTGAGTGTCTATCTCCCAGTTTTCAGCTTCAACCGTTAGATCCATCTGCTCCTTGAGACACTTTCTTGTAGCCAAAACAAAAAGACAAGCTTCACATAAAACTGACTGTTACTTTTACAGCCATCGTACCATAACAAAAAGAGACTAGAAAGAGTTTGTATGAACATTTCAGTTACTAGGGAAACAAGTCAACTTTGCTCTACAACAACTTGCAAAATGTTCTGGGCATGGAAGTGATTTGCAAATGCCAGCTTGCATTTGATTTATACCATAGTTCAAGATGATTTGGCCAACCCTGGAAATGAAGGAGCAACTTCAAGATGCAGTGCGTAAGATGGAGGAAAAAGTGGTTAGCTGTACTGTGTGATTGTGAGAACATTTCATCTGCATTGCTCCGTAAGAGCTAAAATCTGACATATGTTTGACAGCATTCCAGTTGGTAAACAGTAACATTTTAGCAAGTACTGCTGTGAGACCAATGTAAGATCTGATCTGACAGCAAGATAAATCAATCTCACCCCAAACTACAACAGATGGACTAAACTTGTGTAGTTTTTGTATGTCCTTTCAAAACATCACACACACCTGATTTGCTGTTTGTCATTAGCATTTCTGCCTTTATTTTCAGCAAAAAATTAACATGAATTTCTTCGCACAACAATGTGCTTTAATAATCTACTCACTGAATGTGGACAGAATATTAAGCATATTTTAAAGTGATAATGCTCTGTAATTTTACATGAATTTTACTCTTTAACAAACCTGTGAATTTAAGAAACTTGATTTTAGAAACAAGCTGTGTGGCATGCAAACAATCCAACACCTCCAGTCCTTTCTGAACAGGCTGAATTGAAATTACCTGTGCTGTTTTGTCATGTCAAATGCATTTGTCAGCTTTTTAACTCTGTAGGTCAAATTCATGATTGGCATGCATGGATGTAATTTGACTTCAGTGAAGTTGTGCCCATTTAGGTTGCACTCTGAATGTCAGGGAGACCTGAGAGCACAGAAACCACAGGGCAGGAACAATTTGGAGATGCTGAAAGCCATTGAAAGAAATTGTAAACCCTATTTATGACAGAAATCAGTCTACAGCAGCACCCCTAATTCCAAAACATATCCACAGAAATGTTCATTTGAGAAGCTAAACAGAACTATAGTGGGATCAGACTGAAACAGTCACTTCAGTGACCGTCTCTTCATGGTTTTGACAGTCCTGGACCCCTTCCTGCACAAAGTTCTTCCCAGCCTTGATTTCCCTTGAATCACTTTTTCTTCATGCTTGTCTGACTGTTCAGACACTTATTCCTCCCACCAAGATGCAGGCCCCATCATATCCTTGCTCCCTTACCAGTCTCTGTTTCTCGTGGGCTTTTTCTTTCCTTGGTCAGCTTTCCTGCCTTATCCCAACCGATTCTCTGCAGTCCACCCTCTCCATTGTGCTATTGGTCTGCCCAAATGGAATCTCCATGTACAGCTCCCCACAGTGGTCCAGTTTGGAACTCTGTCTCCCAGGTAAAGCTTGCCTTTGTTAAATCAAGTCTTTTGTTCATTGATTCTGGGATATGAATATTGCTTGCTATACATAAAGCTGAAAATCAGTAACAAAGGCCTAGCTTCATTGTTCTCTGGCCCTTCAGAAAGATAGCAAGAATTGCTATTGCACACTTTATCCATAACAGTTCCAATTGGTTCAGTCAGTTTACAGTCTCAGTGGTTTCAAAAAACATTTTGCTGATGGGTTTTTTAGTGATTTGGTATCAGAGGCACCTTCAGTGAGGAGAATAGGAGTCATGGGAGTGTCCTGTTTAGAGATGGAGCTAGCACCTGCCTCAGAGCTTGATGCAGGAGGGAAGCCAAAAGTTCAAGCGTGGTACAGGAGCTGTAGGGTTGAGCCTGTTGTATTCCCTGTAACAATACTGCACCTCAGAAAACAGGCATTGCCCTGGGCTTAAAATGGTCTTAAAAGTGCAGATCGCCCCCTGACTAATAATGCAATGCAAATACTTCACCACAAAATGTCAGAGCTCAGACACTTTGTTAAATATGAATATAATACTCCCTCACCTGTGACATACTTGTCTTAGGGGGCTCAGTGTTAGAGACTGGATGACAAGTTTGCAATCTTGTTAGACCCAGCTCACCTTATGCCTTGGCATCGCCCGCACTTCCTTTGTGTCAGATTGATCTTTGCCTGCTGACATCGAATGGCTCTGAGTATCCGCACCATATCACATATCTGTGCCAGGTTTGGCTACCCACTTTCAAAAGCTGTAGCTCTCTGCTGCAGCTAACACCTTTGCTTTAACATAAAATGCTACAGCACACTGCTAACTTCAGCCGTATGTATAGATTTAGTGTCCTGCATAACGCCATTCTCATACATGTTGGAGTGTGATAGAAGTCTTGGAGTGTCATAGAAGTCTTTAATGGTGCCTGAATCAGTTCTGTAATACAAGAGAGGAAAAAGAAGATTCAGGAATATTTCCACAGTCCTTGAGCCCCTGAGCTCTATGACCAGGCATAATTGTAGTCCTTGTGCCCAGGAAGCACCAAGATATGTCAGCCTAAGTCACTGACACTGCAAAGTCTCAAGGAGAGTGAAAGGGAGCTGACCCTACTCTGCCCAGATCTACAAAGTTGGCCCTATATAGGGAGGAGGTACAGCTTTCATCCTGTGAAGAGATGATGAAGTGGCAAAAATGCCATTGTGCTCCTGTGCACTAATTATGTTTCCAGGAATGCTGGGGTGGTGAACCATTACACAGCCTTCTGCTGCACATTTAAGAAAAAACATAGTCTTCATCAATGTTTGGAATAATCTTTGTGATGTGCACCAATGCATGTGTAGATATGCATCACCAATAGCTACACCAGTTGCTGGCTGTGGGCACCGTTGGTTCTGTGCTAATCATGTGAGCAGCATTTGAATCTCTCCTGGGTAGCCACCAAAGCACTTAAGTTATAGGGAACACTGGTCCTCTTCATTAAGTGATGCTGACTGTTTATCTTAACTGGCTGTGTCTAGATTGGCATGATTTTCCGGAAATGCTTTTAATGGAAAAGTTTTCTGTTGAAAGCATTTTCGGAACAGAGCGTCTAGATTGGCATGAATGCTTTTCCGCAAAAGCACTTTTTGCGGAAAATCGTCCATGCCAATCTAAACGCGCTTTTCCACATAAAAGCCCCAATCACCATTTTCGCAATCGGGGCTTTTTTGCAGAAAACAAATCTCAGCTGTCTACACTGGCCCTTTTGCACAAAAGCTTTGTGCAAAAGGGACTTTTGCCTGAACGGGAGCAGAATAGTATTTCTGCAAGAAGCACGGATTTCTTACAGTAGGAAGTCAGTGCTTTTGCGGAAATTCAAGCGGCCAGTGTAGACAGCTGGTAAATTTTTCCGGAAAAGCGGCTGATTTTCCGGAAAAACTGGCCAGTCTAGACACAGCCACCTAGTGGTATGATGGGGAAAGAAAATCAAGTATTCTTCTGTCAGACTATACTTACCGGAAGATCGATGCTCTGGAGGTCGATGTTCTGGTTCAATTTAGTGGTTCTAGTATAGACCCATAAATCGAACACTGAGGATAGCTCCCAGCGGTGTTCAGTACTCCTCCTTTTGTGACGAGCAAGAGAAGCTGATGGGAGCAGTGTAAATGCTGCCACGGTTCAGCTTACGTTAAACCGACTCCAGCTACACATTTTATGTAGCTGCAGTTGCGTAACTTAAACTGACTTTCTTCATCTAGTGTAGGAACAGGCCTGTGAGTTTTGTTCGTATCAACAGCTGTCAAAGCCATCATGGAAGATATGAGAGTGCTTAATCCTGCTTTTTATGTTTTGGTTGCGGCCTTCTGCGTAGCTCAGCAAACTTATCCTGCAGCCCCAGACAAAGTGGCTCTAATTTCAATATTGCAATATTCTGTGAGGCATAATGGTTGTCTTTTTACCATTTAAATTCACTACAGTGTGGGTGTCAGCACTTTGAGAAACAGCTAACCCTTCGCACCGATGCACATAAAAATAAAATATTAAGATAAAATGGTCAGTCCATTGAAGACTGATGTGTTGTAGAAATAGTTAAAAGTGCCCTGCCTACAAAGTGCTTGGCAAAATGTACCTTCTGATGCAGCAGTGATAGGAAAATGCCATTTTATTTAAATATTTATATTGTTTTATTTTGAAAGAGTTTGAATCCTCAAATGGGCCAGATTGTCTGCTGCCCTTGTTCATTCCGAAAATAACCTACATCACTGCAGTGAATAAACTTGTGCCATTAGACATCATAACAATCAGGGTCTTCCTTACGCTTTGGGGTTCGGCCCCCCCTCCATACTTCTCTTGGACCCTGATTGCCACAGATACTCCTTGACACGTGTAACAGTCACATTCAATATGTGTTAAGGCATCATTTTCCAAAAGATACAAATCCAGTGCCACACATTAATTGTGTGTTTAATTTATAAGCACGGTTGTAATTTATAAGCACATGAAGAACTGACACAAGGCAATGTTATAATAGATTCCCCTTATTTTTTGCTGTTACAGATCAGTCTCAAAGGTCTTGGGCAACTGTATAAAATCCGCATTGGTCATGACAACAGTGGAAATGATCCTAGCTGGTACCTAGAGGAGGTGAGACTTGAAAGAATAGCCTCTACCTCTGACCGGGAGATTTCTCTGGCTGTGGACTGCTGGCTAGCTGAAGATCAGGATGATGGAGACACATGGACAGAAATAGCAATTGGAATGTCTGAAAAGGAGATTTTGCCAAGTATGTACTGCTTATCTTATAAGGAACATTTATTGAATCTTTAGGGCTGCATATGTCCTCCACCCCCAAGTGCAAAGCTGCCTAAAAACCAGTGTAATCAGCCACAAGACAATCCCTGACAACATGGAGCCAATGTGGCAGTTTTCACAAAACGCCCTTGTCTTTCTGAGACCCAGGGATGCGGTCTGCTTATCACTGTGGTGCTTGGCTACTGCAATTGCCCTCTAAAACACAGGTGACTGCTGCTACTTAAAGCAACCAAAAGGCACACAGGACTGAGGATGAGGGGAACACCAAGACAGCTTAAAATAAGATTGATGTCGCCCACTCCTAAATTGGACAAAATGCTCTATAATTTCAGCTTGGTATCTGGGCCAATGATCAGTTGTTGTTCAAACCAGATTTGAGCTAGTCTCTTTAAAATTGCATTGTGTAACTTTAAGATGGACCTTGGAAGAACATCAGAAATTATTCACATTTTTTATGATACCATGCCTTTTTATAAGTGGAGCACAGAAATACGTACAACAATGCAAAAGAACAAAGAAACAAAACTTCTGGGCTTTTATAGCAGCAAAGAGAGCTAGAAAAATCATTTAATTTATCACTTATAGAATTTCCTTGACATTAACAGGGTGATGGGGCAGCTATGATCTGGCATCATAGGCTCACACTAGAGCTAATCTATGTATAGTTCAGGCAAATGGCATTTGAAATGGGGTAGTGGGAATGCAAGGAATCAGTGACTCAATGTATAGAAGGGTCATCGCGCACTTAGTGTCAGTGGCAATTGACAAATTCCAAAAGATGCAAACAAATGATAAAACTCTCTGTAGGGGGTATGTCATTTTCCCCAAAAGTAACCTAGACAGGGACTGAGAATTTTTTTCATAGATTTTAAAGCCATAAAGGGCTATTAAATCATCTGTTATGACCACCTAGGCCATCAAAGGGTTGGGAAGTACAGAAATGCAAACTCGTCCCCCTTAGCCTCAGCCCCTCTTTCCACATTCCCCAGAATAACACGTGATTTAAGCAACACTCTCATTGATTTGCTCATAAATTAGGACTGAGCAGGTGGAACTGAGGCCCATGTAATCTGGAAACAGTATTAGCATGAGACACAGTATCACTCTTGGGAACCTATACTGATATAAATGTCTCACACTTATGCAATAGGAAAAGTAATGCCTGACTTTAGTTGAGTTGCATCGGGCATGAATTTGACTCTTAGGGTACGATTCTTTACTGGGCAGTCATTTACAACTGTGCCCAAGAAGCGCAAAATACTACCACTGTGGTATGTACACTCACCTTAATTAGTTGTAAATGGCTGCACAAAGGTACAAAGTAGTAGAAAATTATGTTTACTGTGTATAGTTGAGACTATGCTCAAAACAGGGCATTAGTTCCTCTCTGTTAAAAAGTGGTGCAATGCTATTGCTATTGTTGTCTTTGCAGGGACACCATCTTTGTTAAAATACTTGCAGCAAGTAAAAATATTCATTGTATGGGGCTTAGAAATTTCATAAATTTTTAAGTTTATGGTTCCAAATTAACTATTGATTTTAGGTTCATTTAAATTGAACATCAATATAAGCTCATCAGGGCTGGCCAAAGATTTTCTATTTTGCCATAATCAGAAAATGAAACTCTGTCTCTATGCATTTCCCATTTACAAGGATAAGTGCTTACAAGAACTGGATAAACCACATTGCGAGTTGTTTACCCAAGAAAACTAATAATGTGCTGCATATTACCTAACAACAACTTGATGCAAGTTTATTATTTGTTTCCAGTACTTTCAAGTCAATTTGGTACCTTTCACAGTACTACATTCACTGAATTAAAAAATAATAATAATTTGCCCAAAACATTACACAAAATGGAGAAATATTTTACGACCATAAACTCAGGAGGTATTGCATTTTTATTGATGTTCTTTGTCACTGATGTTTATTACTCATTTTTCTCTGTTAAATGGTGTCTTCTCCTGGCTTTCTCTGTTCCATACTCCATTATACTCCCAACACAGACTTGAAACCTTGGAGTTGATTTTGATTCCACTTTCTCTTGCCACCTTCTACCTGCCCAATCCCTTCCTTCAAATCCAGACTATTAGTCCCTGTCAGTTCTTCCTTACAACATCTCTAAAATCTCCTTTCTTTATCTCCGTTTCTGACTTTGAAACTTTTCTTCCTGCTTGTCTCTTTACATGAGGCCAGACAATTGAAAATGCTGGCACTAAAATAATCTTCCTGCTCACAGTGATGCTTTCATCCTGGCTTAGCCTTCACTGGCTTCTCTTCATTTTCGGTGTCAAATTCAGACTTCTCACCCTTCGATGTTCTGCATAACTCTGTCTTTGCTTCTTCATTTCAAGATTTATTTTTTTCCTACTTCCTGACCTACCAGCCCTCATGTCTGAGTGTCTCTTCTTATCTTCTTCTCCATCTCCTCGTCATGTCTTCTTTCATGTCACTCCCATTACACTTGGAACTCCTTTCTTGTAGTTTGAGACAGTCTTGCTGACTTCCAGTGTTCATTGTTTTACACTTATCGAATCAGTGTTCTTCAGATTTGACTTGGTTTGATTACATTGTGACGAGGCTGACCAGATAGCAAGTGGGAAAAATAAAAATGAGGGAGAGGAGTAATAGTTGCTATATAAGTCAAAGCCCCTAATATCTGGGTGTCTGGTGACACTAAACAAACTCAAAACAATTTTTCAATAGTTATTTAAGTGAAGCATGTTGAAGACTGACAAATCTGGCAAGAATGCAGGCAGGAAGGAAGGCAGGCAAAAAGGAAGGAAGGCATTCACAATTTTACTTCAAATACTCATGGCTTTTTAACTTCAGAACTGATTTTTTAGCTTAAGCTTTTGATCTGAAAGAACTATACAGCACAAGAAATGCCATTTTTTTCCAAGTTATCTAAATGCAAACTTTGTAACATAAAAGGGAAAGTCTATTTTGTCCATACTTGAATACCCCAAAAATGATTGAACTAATTTGTCTCAAACTTTATAAAAAATCACTTTGGGACTAAAGGAAATGCAGGAAAACAATGTTTTGAGAAATGTACGAGCCACTACAGAGAGCAGCATTAGAATAGTCTCCTAATAACATGTCAAGTCTGTTACCATACCAGTTCAAAAATGGCTTACTTTTTGCGATTCTAATGTTGTCAGTGGTCCACGTCCATCATAAGATGGCGCAAAAGGTGACCAAAAATAATAAAAGTTCAGATGTTATTACTTTATCACTGTCAAATGTATATTGCCATCTTAGTAGTACAGTTGTTCCAAGTATGCATGGAAAAATTCAATTGGAGGCAAGTATCCACTGACCTATATTTAGTAAATTAATACCTGCACTTTTCCTTATTGAAAGGTTTCCTTTATGGTATGAAGAATAGCATTATCCCTTCCATGAGCTAAAATAAAATTACCACAGGTGTCAATCAATGAGTGTCACAGTACAAGGAGGTCAAGAGTTGAGTTCAGTAAGACATTTTCTTTTACTGCTTTATCATCATTTCCAGAAATCCTGCCAGCAGTGATGCTGCTATCCCGAAGGAAATTGTTAACATTAAGGTTACAATGAGTACTGTGGCCACAGCTACAGTTAGTGGCTATCAGTCTATGATCCTGATCTGGCAAACATGTATACATTAATCACTTTATGCATCTGAGTAGCCATGCTGCATTAGGGACTACACCTGGAATACTTAAATTCCCAGCATATTTTTTACATACAATATTTGCCTGGCATGTTTCAGGTATATCTTACAATATTAGTTCAATCAAGGAAATAAAATGACAGAGGAAATTGGAAAAAAGTGGAAGAGGAATCATGACTGAAATGTCTCCATGCCATAATGTTTGCATTTATCACTTGCCAGACAGTAAAATTTTTGCTATGTGAAATAATATCATCAGCCTGATCTGACAATAATTTGGGCAATTTGTGTCATTACAATAAAAAATGTTGAAAAAGCTTATCTCATATGCAGACTGAGTGAAAAAATATAAGTTATTCTTCATCTTAAATTCATCTGCTATTAGCTAGAATCCTAAACTAGTGGAAATGACCATTTTGAAATGTTGATGATAAAGTTATTCTGAATACTGTTGCATTTGGAATGATGACGTATAGTATGTGGAGAGAAAAGACAAACAATTAGCCCAGGTCTATGCTAGAGAGTTAATTTGAAATAACCTCCCTTATTTCTAGGGCTAGGACAAGAAGCAATGAGATTAAATTGCAGCAAGGGAGGATTAGGTTGGATATTAGGAAAAACTTCCTAACTGTCAGGGTGGTTAAACATTGGAATAAATTGCCTAGGGAAGTTGTGGAATCTCCATCTCTGGAGATATTTAAGAGCAGGTTAGATAGACATCTATCAGGGGATGGTCTAGAGACAGTGGTTCCCAAACTTTTTGGCATCACGCCCCCCTTTTTGATTTTTGAAAAACCCTCATGCTCCCCACCCAAAAAAGGCAGCAAAACTTGTTGAGCAAAAAAAAAAAAAATGGAACTGAGCGGGGAGGCTGGGGGGAGGCTGAGCTTGATGGGGGGAGGCTGGGTCGCCTCACGCCCCACCTGGAATTTCTTCACTGGCACGCTCCTCAGTTTGGGAACCCGTGGTCTAGAAGTTACTGGATCCTGCCATGAGGGCAGGGGACTGGACTCGATGACCTCTCAAGGTCCCTTTCCGTTCTAGTGTTCTATGATTCAGTGATTCAATTTTGAAATAATAAGTGGAGCATTCACACTACCAAGCCCATTACTTCAAAATACCAGGCTGTTATTTTGAAATCTGTACTCCTGCTTTCCTTGGGGAATAACATTTATTTCAAAATTATTATTTCGCAATAGCTTCAGACTCTCCAGTGCTGCTATTTCGAAATAACTACTCCCCAGAGTAATTATAAGTAATTACTCCCCAGTGCTTCCTGGGAATCTAAGTTGAGGTAGCACATCCACAATAACAGA